TTTTTTTTTTTTTTTTTTTTTACTTTCAATGTGCAGATATGAAGAACGATGAGCAGTGTGCAGTACGCTTGGGACAGCTCGTTTCGGAGCTTCCAGATCATCACCGTAGTACCTTGTTTCATCTGATGGCCCATTTTTGTAGAATCTGTCAATTACAACACGGAAGAGGTTACACGGAGCCTCCCACCATCCTTATACAAGTGCTGTGTCATATTTTCGTTAGACCTCCTTGGGAACGGATCGTGTAAGTGCACCTCTTTAATCAATTTCTTATGTAGCAAGACGAATCAATTTCTTGAGTAATCGATCGTTCCTTTTGCAGGCAAATTGTTCACAATATCGAGGCGCATATACGAATAGTGGAGGTGTTGTTGTTGCACGGCGATTGGAACGAGAGACTGCCTCAATTTGCCAGTCCACCGCAGCTACCACCGCGAAAAGTTTCGAGGCCGCAGTTTCCAGTTTTAGATCCATTTTCTGTTCTCGATGAGGATAATTCTGTAGAGCGGACAATGTCCGTCTCGGAGAGCAAGGAACCACAGCAGCAACCGCACAGGTGAACGATCGTTTGTTCTCACGCACGATCCTTGACTATTGTAATTCGCTATTATAATATATTATAATTGTTTTGGACAGGCCACGCACGCTTCAAGAAGCTGAATGGTATTGGGGTGATATCACGAGGGACGAGGTGAACGAGAAGATGATCGATTCGCCGGATGGCACTTTTCTAGTACGCGATGCGTCTTCGAAGGGTGGAGAGTACACACTGACATTGCGTAAAGGTGGGACCAACAAGCTTATCAAGATTTGTCAACGGAACGGAAAATACGGCTTCTCGGAGCCGTATAACTTTCATTCGGTTATCGAGTTGGTGGATTACTACAGGAATTGTTCTCTGGCGCAGTATAATTCAACGCTGGATATTAAACTGTTGTATCCTGTATCCCGGTTTCAACAGGTATTTTTTCGCAGAAATCTCATTGTGTTTGGTGATAATAATTAATGTGAATTGAACTTGGGATAATAACGCGATTCTCCTGTTTCGATTAGGACGATGAAATCGCAAGTACAACAGATATGGCGAACGTCGCCCAGAAATATGTCGAACTTGATAAAGAGATAACCGATGCGTTGAAAGAATATAAAGAACTTTCGGAATTGTACAATAGAACGTCTTTTGAGGTCCAGTTGAAACGACAAGCGTTAGAAGCTTTTTCAGAGGCTATCAAAATGTTCGAGGATCAAATGAAATTGCAAGAGAAATTCCAGAAAGAAGCACAACCGCATGAAATATCAACGTGAGTTCTCGTCAATATAGCTACGTATATTTCAAATCTTGCATGTTAATTGGCCGATTTATGATTACAGATTAATCGATAATGCTGAGTTGTTGAAACGAAGATTGAAATCTTTAGAAGATAGCAGGGAACAGTTGGATTGTAGTTTGAAAGAACAGATCGCGTATAATAGAACTTTGGAAAGAGAAATGCACAAATTGAAACCTGAACTCTTGCAGCTTGTACGTCAAAGGGATAAACATTTAATGTACGTATATATATCGTAATTTTTATTATACGTCCGTCTAGAATTGCGATTTAACGTTTATTACTTTATGCTACAGATGGTTGAAAAAGAACGGTATGAAACAAAATAAAATAAGCCAACTCGTGCTAAATCATTCGTTGTCGAATCCTTTATTGGGTGACTTGGCGTATGGTGATCTTCAAGAAGTGGATCTTGAAGTTCATTCCGACGAAACGACGTGGCTTTATCTTGAATGTTCTCGTTCCGATGCCGATCGAATTCTGGCTGAGAAATCGGATGGTACCTTCCTTATTCGAACATCAAGAACGGGACAATACGCACTTTCCATTATGTATGCATATTTCCTTTAATCTTTTTATACCAATAGCAACACATGAAATAAATTACAATAGATGTTTTACTCGTTCTAGGTGTAATGGTACAGTGAATCATTGCATAATATACGGTACCGAACGTGGTTTTGGATTCGCTGAACCGTACAACATCCACAAGAGTTTGAAACATTTGGTGCTACATTACGCTCAGAATTCTTTGGAGGAACACAACGAGAGTCTTAACACGACTCTAGCTTATCCAGCTTTCGCTTCACCTGCGGCATTGTCGCAGTTACAGGCTCAACAGATGCAATTGCAAATGAAAATGCACACCCAAAACCAATTACAATTGACACGTCCTCTTGAAAATCAACATTATATGACGCACACGTAATGCTCGTGCGTCGATCAATAGAATTACAAGGATATTAGGATGTATGTGTGCGTGAAAGTTTTCTCGATTACCACTGAGGCTTAATTTAGAAATCGAAAGTTAACCAAGTGATGATAAATGGTTTTTGGAGTAGACTTGCGAAAGAGTGATCGAAAAGTGAGGCCTTTTCCCGCCTGTTTTTAGTCCTTTAATTTTGGTATCAAATGATCACTGAGATGTCAATCACTGCAAATTTTCGAATTGAATCGACGATTGCTTTTTGAGACATAAGGACTCAAAGATGTCCACGTAACCCATCAGTTTGTGTGCTTCGATGTGCAGACTTTTATGGATTTATCAAGGATTTGGCTGACTTAAACTTAGATTCATAATTGTGATATAAATTATTTCTTTATTCTTTTAAATACGTTCTTTTAAATATTTGTTTTTATCTATATAGTAATTATTAAATTATTTGAATTTTATTCTTTTATGTCTGATGAAAAGAACTTGATCTTGCAATGAAATAAAGATGATAAAAAAAGTAGACTCGATATTAGAAAAGAAAGAAGGGGCATGGCGGGGAGCGTAACTGTGTTGATACTATAGTATATTGAATTTAAAAATTTTATATTTCAAACTAAAATCGAATTTGTAGTTTGCAATCAGAAAAATTCCTGGATACAAAAATTTAAAATTATCCAATCAATTGATGCATTAATGGATGTGGACTCTTTATATCTGAGAAACTTATTGTCGGTTCAAATTTGTTATAATTGAAGTACCATCACAAGCTATCATTTGACACCAAATTCAGTTTCAAAGTTGGATGGTCCAAGAACGGGAAATTATTTTCGATCACTTTTTCTATCCGTCTTAATCGATGTGTGATGGTATTATCTACGGAGACAGAATACGCGCCCGACAATTGATCGTTCAATTTTTATAGGCCGGAAGTAAACGCTTCCTTAAACGAAGTACAGTGGTATTGATAACGATTAAAGAAACATTGATAGCGATAGTAATCCTCAGAAGCTATAGTTTATAAGACAATTATACACGTATGTTACCGTGGCGCAGCAAGCGATTGTTGAGGTCGACAGAACCACTGGATACATATATTACTGTAGATTTTCCAATTTTGTCGAGGTTTTTTGACAAACCTTCTTGATTGATCTTGTCGACGATCAACCGAGAAATTTTCTTTGGCTCGTTTTTGGCAAGATCACGGGAACAGAAATGAACATTTTGCCGTCAGTTTGTATTTTTCAAGACGGGGCGAAGAATTGTTTCAATGTTGGAACGATGTTATGTCACGTTTTTTCGGTATACACCTGCTCGATCGAATATGTCAGAGTAACAGAGGCATAGATCTAGTCTTACAGGCAATTTGGCGAAAGAAATGAATACAAAGCAGAGTGAATCATAAGTCTGACTACGCTCAAACTACTCGCAGTTTCGATTGGTAATCAGGGTAGTTGCATTTCATAAAAAAAAAGAAAAAAAAAATTTGATACTAATCTAACAATTAATCATAGATGGACGCGTCCGTTCCTCCACGGGGTGGAAAGTGGATAGACACAACGCATTTCATAAACCGCTGTACTTCTGACTTCTTCGATAATGTTTCGTGAATATTTCCCAAACCTCCGGTTTTGCGATACGAGCGGGTATCGTTTACGTCGCGAACGAAGCGACTCACGAGTGAGATACGAGTTATTCAAGAGTGATAACTAGAGTATATAATTAGACGCATTGCAACATGTAACTGGGCCTTTCGGATGCTTATCGAACATTTTTTGTAGAGATTTACAGTACTAAAGTAGCATCTATCACAATTGTACGAACAACTCGACGCTTGGAGGCTCGTTTCAACAAATGTTACTTTACCCGTTCGATTTTTGATTTAAATGTACCCGCTCGTGTTACTTTTGAACTTCATCACAACGAAAAAAAAGAAAAAAAAAATTTACACAAATGCGCGGGAGCTTTTTTATATATATGTTAGATTTCAAGTGCTGTGCCAGATCTGTGTAGGCTACTACGCGCATCTAAAAACATGTATATGTGCTGAGGGAGAGTCGCAGAGAGAGAGAGAGAGAGAGAGAGAGAAAGGGGATGAATGTGAGGGAGCGAAAGAGGAAGAGAGAAAATGAGAGAGAAAGGGGGAAATCATTTTTCGTCGAGTTAAACATATTGTCTGTGATTGCTGAGAAAGGAGATGTATATGTATATATGTGTGTACGTGTGTGCGTGCATGCTACATACATATATATGTATACATATATATATATATATACATATATATATTATATAGATATATGGATATATATTATATCGTTTATATTATTTTCAAATCGCTTTTTACAAATCGCTTTTCTTCTGTCACCACTTTTTTTTTTTGTTCTCTCTTTTAACGTTTACGAAGCGTGTGATCGTTGGTTTAATGCTCGATTCCAACGAATGTAGATAATAGAATTCTATTGCGAGACCGTGCAAAAGCTACTCGTGATTTTTAATAATTGTAATTTTCTTCTTACGTTCGATTGAGCGGTTACTTCTCTTTCGTCTCTTGCGTCTCGTCGCGCTTTTTTCTCTATCGACTCGATACGTCCACGACACTGAAACGTTCGCGAGACGTCCCCTCGTCGATTCGATTTTATCCGTATTCCCGTATCGGTACCGGTAGTGCTGGTAAAATTCGTTTTCACGAACGTTGAACAGAGTCGATCTTCCCTCGCTTTGGATGTCAAAGCTTGCCGCGTGCTCTTTGAATGATCTCAAAAAGGTAACGGGGGTCTCGCCGGTTGACACGACAACGAGAAGAATCTTCGACGGAACCGATCGCGATCGAATCGATACTCGAGAAATTTTACGCATTACATTGCGGTCCGTAATCGTGTAAGAGTGTATCGAGGACGAAATCAATCGCGAACAACGGTTCCATCGGCTTTTAGCGGTCATTTGAGTCGGGACGACGATTCTTCTGGTCATCGTTTCCATTCTCGCGCGACTCTCGCTACCGTGTATAGTCAAAAGAAAACTGTAAGCCGGATATCTTGCAAACGGATCTATGAACGAGTGAGAAACGATCTCGAGCTTGAAAGAGTCGAAAGCGGCGACGAGCTATGATTTTTTTTCCTTTTTTGTTGTTCTTGTTCGTTCGTTCGTTCGTTTGTGCAGTATAAGATGACGAATATCGAGGAGAGTCAGAAAAACGCGAACAGAAA